GAAGGGCCTTGAATATGACCCATTCAAGAGACACTAGAAGTGCTCTGCTCTAGACAGACAGCTTCAACTTCTGTTCTCATTGTTTTACATTCAAGCTTCTTGACAAGAGACTGAGGGAAGCCTCAAGAAGCTTGAATGTACTAAATGGGGCAGTAGAAGAGATCAGGCAACACGGAGACTCCTCCTATCAGGCTGCCTACACTTACTCCTGTGACTCCTCCTGAGTTCCAGTGCCGGACCTGTGACACCACCAGATGTAAGCTATGCCTCCAAGAACATCTGGGATCAGTCAGTTAAAGGTTTTTGTGGCCTGCTATACAATAGGAAATTGATGGAGGAGGCCTACAAAAATCCTCTGGGCAGCACAGGAATTGGATAAGTGTGAAAGATGGATTTCCACAAGAAGAGACTGCTATCCATGGGGAGGATAAGGGAGCAGCCAAGCCGAGCAGCAGCACACAAAACTGGACAAGGATAAAGTCAGAGTGATAAGCCAGCCTCTGCTGGAAAACAAGACATGAGCATGTCTGCAAACACTCAGGTAATGGTGAGGGACTCTCTATATATTATAATCAGTTAATACTGTGAAATGCTCAGGGCTGCACCAACTGAAAGAATTCCTGTTTTTTCCAAGGAAACTCACTCACCGTTTCACCAAGATGCGAATGGGGTCTGTCATGAATTTGTTGGTCATTTCCAGAATTTCATGAGGCAAAGTGGCACTGATTAGAACCACCTGTGTAGCTGGAGGCAGGTATCTGTACACGTCATAAATCTGCTCCTTAAAGCCTGCAGTGCAAATCAAGTCACACAGAACAGTTTAGCACATCTTTCTCCCAAATATTCTCCTCTTTCACAATTTGATATGGGATTCAGTACTGGCTCTGTGCTATGAGATGAAAATTGATGCATTAATCAGTATCATCAGACAAGGCATATTATGCAGTTTAACCCATTACAGCCTACAATTAACTATAATTGTCTAACTTTGGAAAAAAGCAATTTTTAGAAGTGGGCCTGCCAGCTGGGACACCCTGGAATCTCAAAGAGGTGAAGAGAAGGCAAGTAAAAGGGAGACAAATGTTTTACCTTTATTGAGCATTTCATCTGCTTCATCCAACACTAGCATTTTGATGGCACGAGTTCTTAAACTTCGACGACGAATCATATCTGTAAGATTTCACTTTGTAAGGTGAAAAGGCTCTGAAAGCAGGTGAGCCTACACTGCTCCCAGCCTCTGTCAGGGCACTTCGGTGCAGCAGGGACAGGCTCTTCCTCTGCTTTTTTTTTTTTTCCACGTGTGGGGACTAGCTCTGTGTTCTCCCAGCGACAGGTGCCTGTGTAAGCCAGGGCTGTCTGCTTCTCAGAGACCCAGGAGATGTGAGCTTGAAGGCCAACACTGCCACAATAGTAAATTTTAAAATCTTCATGCAATGAAACCAGAAGGTACCAGCTGCAAGTGTACCTGACTTAACAAAGGGGGAGCAACAACCAGTACACAGAATATGTGGACTAACTTTGGCAATCAACTACACCTGGCTCCTGTCCCCTTGAAGATACTTAAGTATTTTCTGGGATTGTAGTATTTTCTCCTTAAAAAATATTCTTTTTTTCTCTGCCACCATATAAAGACACACTTCATCAATGAAAAACAAAACATAAAAAGAGAAAATGAAAATACTATCCTCCCCACTGATTTCTCTCTAGCCTTTTCCAGGTATTACTGCAGCAAGTTGTTACCTTGTTCCACTTCACGTTAATGTTACATTAACGGTGTCATGATAAATGTAATTTCCATGCTATTTAAAATCAAAGCACCCAGAAGCTAAGGAGGTTCCCACGACTCAACTCAGCTCTGAAGCTAGAGGTGATGCAGCCTCCCACATTTCCTTACCAAACACACGGCCTGGAGTGCCGGCAACAACGTGCTGCCCATAATCCAGTTTTCGGATGTCTTCCCCCACGTTGGTCCCTCCGATGCAGGCATGACACTGGACATTCATGTAGTCCCCCAGAGCAAGAAGCCCCTGTGTTGATACAAAGCAATGGTTTAATTACCTGAGCTCTTCTAAGTTTGCATTTGTGAAGAGATGCAGGTCTGCACAGCCAAACCACAGCCATGTGGGTTTTTTAAAGAGATGTAAGCACAAGGAGTTGGAGGGATTTTTTGTGTGTGTTACCCTAACCTCAACAACAGCAGGTCTTCAAACACTGGGAACCCAGTTCCCCAGGGATCACAGCTGCCTTAAAAGTGTTGTCCTTAAAAATTCAGTTAGGACTGTGTACAACCTTAGGCTGCCAACCAACACGGTCATGCAAGCAGTAATGGATACAATGCAAGTGAGCAAAACAGCTCAGATGAAAATTTCTTATTTCTTTCAGGAACAGAAAGAAACAGTGGAAGCTGTGCTTTGAGCTCTGCTGGGAGAACACCAGAGCATTGGCCCCAGGCCTTGCCAGTGCTTCACAGACAGGGATTTAAATGCTCTTACCTTCTGAATCTGCACAGCTAGCTCTCGAGTGGGCGCCAAGATCAATGCCTGGGTCTCACGAACCTGATTAAAACAAATGATGACATGGAAGTTAATCACAGGCCATAGAGCCAAGCTTAAAAGATTATGGGTCCCAGAGCACTCTGAAATGTCACAGCTGAATTAAGGCTCAGTATGCCTAGAGAGAGTGGCTTTCAAATAGAGCATTTACACGGCAACAGCCTCTTTTAAGTTACTTTTGACAAGAAAGCATTTAAGCAGTTCTTTAAGAACTTATTTTTCATTCCAACACAATTTCTGACCAAAAAAAGTGTGTACTTTTCTTGCAAAATAGAAACAAATTAAAAACCCTTCAGTTTTGTAGATTTGATTCAGATAAACACCTTGCATTGCACAAGGATTCCAAGACAATGTTTTAAAGTGCCAGCTTTGAAAAATATTATGAGCACATTACAGAAATGAAGCAAAAGCTGATCTTTGCATTTAGAACATACAACCTTCATTTTTATGTCCCCAGGCAGTGACAAATGAATAACAATCCAAGCTTTTAAGAGGATACCAGCCCGCAGAAAAACATAATTTTATTCAACAGCATCTACACATTCAAGTTAATACTTAAAAAGCACGGACATGATACCCCTGACCAGAACAAAAGCAAACATTTGTCAGTCAAAAATCTGGGTTTGATCCTGTGCAATGTGTGGCAACTGTTCAGACAGGTTGATAATGCTACAGGACTGTCTGAAGACAATTCTGCTTACTGAGAGATTAACTTAGCCCTCTAATAGGTGAAATAGTCTGTTAAACCCAACTTTATAATTACAAGACTTTATCTGAACTTATTTGACTGGTTTTAACAGTTAAACTGTTACAGAGTAGAATCAGAATTTTGCCTGAGGTTCACTGCCCATAATTAAAAGATTTCAATGTAAGGCTTCATTTATTAATTCCAAACAAAAAATGTTTTTTATGATAAAGACTATTGATTTAGTAAAAAAGTATTTTTTAGCACATGTTGTGAAATTACCTGTATGTCCAGGCACTGCAGAACAGAGATGGAGAATGTTGCTGTCTTCCCTGTTCCTGACTGTGACCTGAAAAACAGATGTTTGGTGAATACTCTGGATGTCTGGACAAACAACACAGGCAACTTTGACATATTCCACCCCTCGGCTCTTTGCCACTCCTCCATTGCAAAGAACTCAATAGTGGCAACAGTGTATTTGACAAAGGCTTGTTGTGATCACAGCATGATCTGCTGTCAAGCAGCTTTGAGATCTGCAATACCAGGGACAGAACACTCCATTGCAGGGTCCCCAGCTCTGGCATGCCTACTCCTTATCAGACCAGCATTTTAACTTCCTGCAATCTCTCATACATACACTTTTTTTTCTTTTCAAGCGAACAACAGATAAGCCAATACAATTTTGAAGGTTAATAATTCCCACTAGTGACCTAGAAAGGATTTTTTTCAGTGGCATGCATATCCTTCTTTGTCTCTAAAACACACTTTTTTCTTTTCAGTGACTAAAGTTTTGACATTAACAACTGTTAGGATCACAGTCCATGTGCAGAATGGCCAGTTTCACCCCGTTTTGCCCGTCATATCATAAAACCACAGAACGGCTTAGGTTGCAAGGGACCTTAAAAATCATCTCGTTCCAAACCCTGCCGTGGTGCCACACACTAGACGACGTTGCTGTGGGCCCCATCCAGCCCGGCCTTCAACGTTTCCAGGGATGAGGCATCCACAGCTTCTCTGGGCAATCTGTTCCAGCGCCCCACCACGATCAGGTCGCTCCCCAAACCCTGCGACCGACACACACACACACCCCGCCCAAGGGCCCACAACCACCTCGGGGCACCCGCTCCCGCCGCCCCAGGGCCCCACTTACTGGGCGATCACGTCCCTGCCCTTGATGATCTGCTTGATGGCTCGCTGCTGGATGGCCGACGGCTTCTCGAACCCTGCGGGGGCGGCCACACCGTCAGGGCCGGGGCCGGGACACCGACACGCCCCGCCCCGCACGGCGCAGGCGCGCGGCCCACATCCGGGCGCCCCACGGAGCAGCGGGCCTGCCACGGACACGGCCCCCGCATTCCCCGCTCCCCTTCCCCCTTTCTTTTTCTCCTTCCCCTCCCCCCCTTCTCTTCTCGCCTCCTCCCTCCTCCCTCCCCCGCCGCTCTGACCGTAGGCGTAGATGCCGCGCAGGAGGTCCTCGCGCAGGCCCATGGTGTCGAAGGTGGGCGTCACGTCCACCTCCTCACTGGTCTCGAACTCCACCTTGGTCATGTCTTCCTCCTTCATGAGGCGCTTCCTGGCCGAGCCGCCCGCGGACCCCGCCGACCCCGCCATGGCCGCCCCGAGCCCCGCGCGCGCACCGCACCGCTCCCCGCCCCGCGCGGCGACCCGCGCCCTCTCTGCGCCTGCGCGGGGGCGGGGAAGGGGAGGGAACGCGTTGTGCGCGTGCGCGGGGCGGGAGGGCACGGGGTGTCCTCAGGGAGTGACGGGATCGTGAGGGCTGGAAGGAAGGGACCTCTGGGGATCGTCCAGCCCCACCTCACCTGGAGCGGGTGACACAGGAACGCCTCCAGGTGGGTTTGGAATGTCTCCAGAGAGGGGAAACTCCACGGCCTCCCTGGACGGCCTGTTCTGGGCTCTGCCACCATCAGTGTAAAGAAATTGTTTCTCAGGTTCAGGTGGGACTTCTTGTGTTTTAGTTTATGGCCATCGCTCCTTGTCCCGTTGCTAGGCACCGCTGAAAGGACTCTGGTACCATCCTCTTGACACCCGCCTTCGAGTTATTTACATGCATTGATGAGGTCCCCTCTCAGTCTCCTCTGGACTAAACAGCCCCAGCTCCCTCAGCCTTTCCCCAGAATTGAGGTGCTCCATTCCCCTAATCCTCTTGGTTGCCCTCTGCTAGACCTGCTCCAGGAGCTCTGTGTCTCTTGTCCTGAGGAGCCCAGAACTGGACACAGCTCTCCAGGTGATCCTCACCAGGGCTGAGTAGAGGGGCAGTATCACCTCCCTCGACCTGCTGGCTGCTCTCTTCCCGATGTGCCCCAGGAAAAGCATCCAGGGGGCTGGACGGGAAGGTGGGCGCAGGCTGTTTGTGTTCTTCAGAACACCTTGGAATGCAGGATGGAGGTGACACGTGGGTTGCCACTCCCATTTGGTTTCCCCGTGTGGTGTGTGTTTCCCCTGGAACTCCGTGCCTGGGATATCCAGCACTCCGTGCCCGTGTGGAAGCCAAGCGTCCAGCCCCAGGAACACCCCAGGCAGTTTGCACAGGGCGGGGGAGGAGAAATGTGCTGGCTGGCAGCCTCATGTCACCTCCTCTGCCAGCCCAGGGGTGTCAAGAGAAGGTTGATTTGCCAACCTGAGGTGGGACAAGGCAATGGAATGAGATGTAGGGGTTCTCAACAGAGACCAGAGAAGGATCCAAACTTCTGACTGCCTTTCCTCAGCCGATGCCTTCTCCACTGCTCTGTCCATGTTGTTCAAGCAGCTGGGATCCAGTTTTCACAGAGCTGATCCCTGAGTTCTTTTGAGGGGCAGAGAGTTTGGATGTGGGTGTACTGCACCCCCCTGTCCTTCTCAAAGAGCGTTTTTAAATTGTGTTCCATTTGCACTGTAGAAGATTTAAGAAACAGTTTGGGTGCTTCAAATTCCTGCAGCTGTTGAATTTCTCTTGGTCTCGTTTCTTGGGAACGCACAGATATATTGACTAAACTGGAAAAGCATGGAGATGGAAGAGCTTTGAGGAGTTGCAGTTTGGCTTGTTCAGCCATACAACTACATTTTTCATGGCAAGTCAATGTCTCTTAAGTAGCCAAGACTTAGCACTCCACGGGGTGAGTTTGTAAAAAGGATCCTGGTTGATGGCCTTGATCAGCAGCTCCATGAGGTGATTTCCATTGACTTTGGATAAGGAACATTAAGTCATTGCCTCATCCCTACACAGGGCAGTTAATCTGTATTTGATGTTTTACAATGTCCTGCAGGAAATCCAGACACAAGTCCAGACATCACACTTAGAAAGGCTTCTCTGTCCATTTCCCCCCACAAAAAAAAAGGCTAAAGAATAGGTTTTACTGAGAACAATTCAGACCAAGATATTTCTTTTCACAAGGGGGTGATTTCATAGACATTATTTGGGCGTCCGAAGGTGGAGATTTGGGGAGAGTTTTCCACTTGTCAGTCATTTTTTAGGTGCAGTGTGGACTTCAGCCACTGCATGGTGACTGAAAGGCTCCCTTGGGAACTGCCTGAGTAGGAGCAAACCCTGCTTAAGTGGTGTGGGATGGTAATACAGAACAGCAGAGGGCTATTGAGTCTCATCTTTTTATGGGAGGGAGAGGGATGCACATTGTAGCAGAGGGGAAAAATCACCTCAACTCTATTACTGCCCTCAGAAGTGCTGATGTCACCGTACCTCACATGTGACACAAATTGTCCTCTTTGTAGTGTATGGATCAAGCTTCATTCACATTTTCTTTGTTTGATGTAAAATATTTCTTTCTCCTTAGTGCTTTCAGTTCCGAGGACTGGCAAGGCATTTGCCAATGCTTTTGAAGTACCTCTGGTGGAAGTGAATCTCTGATTACCCTGACAGCCAGGACAGCTCCATCCAGGATCTTGAGCAAAACAGCTCCAAAAAAGAAAGAAGAGGTGTTTCAGGTTCTTTTGACTTAAGACTTTGACTTAAGGCTTCTTTCAAACCTGGTACAAAATTGGTGCTTTTGGAGTTATCGGTTCTGTATCAGCTTTATGCTTCTTGGGTCAGCTTGGCTGAATCTCATTTACCTTTGAAGCTGACCTCAAGGCAATTTTAGCCTCTAGGTCAAACAAAATGTTGGCTGGAAGTCCCCATCTGGCATTTGTCACTGTAAACTCTGTAGCTTTCAGTGTTGGTTTTTCTGTGGCTTCTGAGTGTTCTCCAAAACCTTCTCATTGTAGTTGCCTTAAGGGCAGCTCAGAACATCTCCCTCCTGGCAGCTTGGGCTTGCTTCTAAAATGTTCTTCAATATTGATTTGATCTCTGAAGTTTCCTTTTGGTATGGAAAGCTTCAGTTTTTCTCTGCCAGTTTTTCCCCACTGACTTGTCTCTGCTGTTTTTCCCTCAGTGTCAGAGGGTAACGTGCAGGGAATCGGTGTGTCCTTCTGGCCAAGCTGCGTGGGCCCACATCACTCCTCCATCATCAGCAAAGGCACCAGGTTTGCCAATCCTCAGCTTGTCACTGCTGCCTGAGCCCTGGAAGAACTAAGGGGAGATCCTCAAGGTCTCTGGTGCTGCCTTCATCGGTGGTGGTGGGTGAAGTGAGCAGCAGGGCCTTTCAGCAAGCAGCCGTCTGGGGTGGAAGAAGTGCTTGCAGCCAAGGTTCATGATGGGGTGGCAGGGTTTGGGGAAGGGCTGAGGAAAATCTGGGGTGGATATGATCTAGGCTTGTCTGTGAGATGGGAGGGCATCTCTGAATGACTGGATGGTGTGACAACAGAAGTCCTGTTGGAACTCCTAGAAGAGGGAGGAAGTGATTACAGTCTATGCTGTGCTTGCAGAGGTGGAGTAGCAGCATGGAGGAGCAGGTGAGACTGGCAGAGCTGCCTGCAGCCTTGGACAGCACACTCATGGTCCCCAGGAGTGGGCTTCAGCATGCAGCTGTCACCTCCTATGGATACAAACTGCAGTGCCTCTGGTGAGGGTGCTGCTCCCCGCGAGGAGGGCTCTTCTCTGGGATGTGTGAGGTGTCTCTTAATGCTCTGCTCTCCATGTCTGCAGGATCCAGGTGAGGAAGATCGCCAGGGAGAGGGACAAGGCGAAGCTGGACTTGGAGAAGGCAGAGAGACACTGCCTGCATCTTGGCAGGGAGCTGGACGAGCAGTACGTCGCTCTCAAGCACACCCAGAGCAAGCTCAAGTAGGAAGGGTCTTTTTGGTGGGGCTGGGAAGATGTGCCTACAGCCTCTCCCTCCCATCCCAGTCTCCCTGTTAAATCTCCCACTTGTTTTGTCAACGTGCTAGTGGCAGAAAAATCCCTGAAGACCTTCCCCCACTATGGTTTCAGCATCCTTCCAACCAAGTTCTCATCTCCTGCTTTGTGCGTGGTGAGGGAGGGTGTCTGTACCTTGTGACCATCTGAGAACATGCTCCAGGTGCCCCAGCCACGTTGCTTTTTTCCCCCAGGGATTTGCAGGCAGAAATAGAAGCAAAAGAGCTGCTTTTGCAGCAAGCAGTCAGTCACCAGGCAAAGCTGGAGGCTGATACACAGTTCCTCCAGGGCAAAGAGGCCAGCCTGCAAGGGAGACTGAACCACGTGATGAAGGTAAGTAAAACTGCCCTGGGTGAAACATCTTCATTTATTCAGATGAGGCAAAGCAGAGATGGTGACAAATATGGATGGTTTGTGTTGCTTTTGCTGGGAAGGACAGGAATTTTATGCAGAAGAATCATCAGCCACATCCATACTATTGTATTAAATACAGAGCTTGTTCCCTTGCCGTGGCATTATTAAACCCCCATGTTGTTTGTTGGGACTGGTTTGGCCCTTGATAACACCTGGATACTCAATAGCTAAGGCTATAATTGTGCCAGGGATCATGCCAAAAGCAGAGATGATGGTGTCTGCGTGCCTGGGATCATCCCAGTTCTGTTCACTGTGGAAGTACAGCTGGAGATAGCACAGGACTTGCTGCCTTTGTTGTCTGTGACGGAAACCATAGTTTTGTGAAGCAGGGGTAGAGATGAGCCTGTGGGGCTATCTAGCTCTTATTCTGCAAAACCCACTCCTGTGCCTGTCCTTTGGAGAGATGAGCCTAACCCCAGCCCATGAGGTATCAACAGTGTGCTGTCCTGTTGTGGTTTAGGAATGGTACTGCCCAATTTAGTTCTCCCACAAGACTTTCCAAACCACACTGCTGCTCACTACCTCTCCTCCATCTTCTGTCCCTTGGGTGGCTTTAGAGGAGAATTGGAGGCACAAAAGGCAGAGATCGTGGGTCGAGATAAGAACAATTTACAGGAAACAGCTATGAGATAAGAAAACAAACAGCAACAGCAACAATACTAATAACAAAAATGTACGAAAGAGAGAGTGATTTACGTGCAAAATGCTCACCGAAGAGCCCAGCCCAACCTGCAGCCACTTTTCCTTTTCTCATTTTCTCACTGGGAGAAAGCCTTTCTCCATGAAACAGTCCCTTCCCGCTGCCCGTGGCAATGGCATGAGGTGGTGTAGAAATAACATCTGGGCACCCTTCTGGCTACTGCAAAAAATTACTCCTGTCCTGTCTGGAACCAGGAGCTGTCCAATTCAGGGTCTTCTGGGACCTGTGCTGTGTTTGCCACGCTGCCAGTTGTTTCACAGCTTCCTGCTGAAGGCCTGTGTCTGATGAACCCATCCTGCCATGTCAGGACCCACTGCATCAAGGAGATCTCTGTTTTGTCAGCAGAACACAGAGCTGCAAAACAAGGTCACAGAGATGACTGAGAAACTGTCAGCCTCTGAGGAACTGGTGTTGGAGCTGCAGAAAGAACTCAACCACATTGTGAAGGAAAAGGTAATCTTTCTCTGTTGTAGTTAAATAGAAACTTTTCAGGAACTCATCAAAAAATTGATCTTGCATATTTTGGCTCAGTTGTTATGGTCTCCCCCTCTGTGAACTCTCCTGCACGTTGATGACAACCTGGAAAGAAAAAAAATGTTGGCTTTTAAGTTAGGCCTTTTGAAGCTTGAGATAAAAAAGGGTGAAGAAAGTTTGCAGTTTTAGAAAATTTTACAAATTTGCAGTGTTCAAGTGAAAACTTTGAAGTTTGGTTTCCAGAAAAAAGAAAAGCTTTATTTTTCACAACTGTTGAAATAAAGGGTTAGTTTTGGTATCTTCCACTCCTACAACTCACCTGGTAAAATGAAACTGGGGAAAGAAATGAGTCTGTGATCTTGTTAGCCAGGAAAGCTTGCCTGCCTGTAGTTGTTGTCTCTCACATGTGGAGAAAAATGTTTTTCCTCCTCTTTCTGCATCTGACTCATCCCACAGGTGACAATACGAACCCTTCTGTTGAATCTATGGGTGTAGCACCATGACTTCAGTGATTTAGTAGAGCTTTTGGCTCTCTGTTTGGAGAGGTGGTAACTTTCTTGATGAGAGATGTTTCCCTGTGCTTGTGCAGCTGGGCCAGGGGGAGCCCCACAGCCCGGAGTTCCTGAGCCAGAGCGAGCGCTTTGCCGAGATTGTCCTGGAGTACGAGCGGCAGTGCCAGGTACGCGTGGGTGTTGTGAAAGTCCTGCTCTCCTCAGCACATCTGTTGGGCACTTTGGCCTGGGGGAGTGGAAGGAGGCAGCCCTGACCATGGTGCAGAGGAGAATCCCTCTTGCCTTGCTCAGAGGAGGCTGGAGACAGCTATACCCTCAGTAAAGCAGCCTGTCTCCTCACTCCTGCAGCCCTCCATGGGTTGTTTCCCTTGCGGGGATTTTGGCAGAGGAGAGTAGGGGTGGATGGTAAATTCCTCCCTGCTTGCCACTCTGTAGCCATGGGCTATTTTGTTTGGGAACCGTGTACCTCCACCCTGGGCTCTGTTGCATTTCTTCTTGAGCAGAAGTAGAAAGCTGTTCTCCTTATTTGGAAAGCATGTTAACAGTGAAATTCTTCTATCCTTTTGTTTTTCCCTTCCTTCTCCTTGCCCCCCCTTGACAAACCCCTACAAAACTTGCTGCTGGACTCTGCTAGAGAGTCAAGGTGAGCCAGTCCAGGTATCTGGTGTGTGAGTATGGTCCAGGAGTTGGTGCTCTGTATGTTGTACTTCCTGCAGGGTAATGTGCTCCTTCCAGAGCTTTTGACTGTCTGGGATGAGCACAACCTCTGTTTCCCTTCTCTCATTTTTAAGTGACTTGTGTATCTTGCATGTTGTGAGTTGCTGAGTGCTCTGTGCCTTGGCTCCCAAATCCTGTGTTTGTTACATTGCCCGTTTGTTCCCAAGTGCTGTGTGTGGCTGGGGAACACCACTGAGTAGGGACAGTGACTTATGACATCCCTCCAGCAAGGGCTGAAATGTGCACTTTCAGCAAAGTCGTTCCATGGACACATCAGACAGCCCCTCTTGAGTCTGTAATTAAAGGCAAACACACTGGAGCACAATCCAGTGCAGCATTGCTCCAGGTGGCACCAGAGGGTTGAATATGCTTGGTGCTGCAGTTTTCCTTCCTGTTGAACAGCCCCGGAGTTGTCCATAAGAATGCTGATGGATGGAAAGGTTCAACCTTCAGGCTTCATCTGCCCCTGTGAAGGCACCCACTCGGGTTTATCCTTTACTCTTGCTGAGTGCTGTCAGCCCCCTGCCCTTCCTGTTTGGAATGGAGATGAAACAAACTGGGTTTGCATTTGTCTACATCGTCTCAGTAATATTTATTAATTGGAAGTGTCCTAATTCACAGTCCCTTGCAACACATCAGTTTCCTGAGTGGCAGCACGTGGGAGGTAATTTGATGTCTGCTCAAAGTGGTCTGACCCCCAGTCCAGAAGAAGGCAGGATGCCTTGTGTGGTGTTGCTTCCAGTACGGGATGGAGGGTGTGAAGTGAAGCAAGCAGTTTTCCAGCTCCAGGCACCCACATGGAAGTGGCTCGTTGCACTGGTGTGGCGGCTCATAACTCAGCGTTCAGCTGTGGAGTTGACTCCTTGCTGCAGGCTGATGTTGGCACTGAGGTGGGATAAACTCCTGTTCTGGCCTCAAGGTGTCTCTGGCACCAGGAGACCAGCAGGACCTGCCTTGTGCTGTGCTTCCCATGGGATCAGCACCTTCTCGCTCCACTTTATTCCTTCTGCAGCCTGGAAATGTTCCCTCCCAGAGCCCTGTGGGACTTGCTTCCCTGTTGCTTTGTGTGCATACAGGAGTGCTTGTTGGCTAGCCTGGATGCCCCACAGAGGTATCTTGAGGATGTAAATGCAAACCTCTGGGCCCGTACTGAGATCATGGTGTTTCTTATGTGTTGGATGCTAGCAATGGTGGTTTAGGTCAGGAGGGTCTCAGGAGGCCCAGCCCTTTGAGGTGTCTGCAAAAAACCCTGGTATTGTGGCTTTTGCATGCAGGACCAGTTGCTTTGTGCTTTACAGTGTCTACTGGTGATGGTCATGGTAATCTGGGCTTGCATTTCTTCTTTCAAATTCTCTCATGTCTGCATTTGCTTGGGAAGGAAGAAAAATTCCCCTGTGCTGGGGCTGGGGGAGGCCTCTGTTCTTTGTACTGGGCCTGAGAGCAGGAGGCTCTGAGTACACATGGCAGCTCCCACACCCTGGGGGGGCTTTGTAGCCACATCATGACCAGTCTTTGGTCTTTTCAGGTGCTGTATGACCAGAACAGGGCGCTGCGGAGGGAGCTGCAAAGGCTGCGTCTCCAGCTCCAGGAGAGCAGGGCTGAGACAGGGCTGCCAGCAAGAGGTAATGTGCTCCAGGGTTCAATGCCTCTCCATCTTCTCAGCAGGAACAGAGTTCCCTCCGGATTGACTTTTACATGGGAGCGTGGGGTGGCTTGTGCCTGAGCTACCACTGCAGGTTCTGGTACTGGGCAGCCGTGGGAGGGAAGAAGGGGAAATTGGGTGGTGGGGAGGAGGGAAAGAGGCATTCCCAACTCGAGAGCTGGTGATGGTAAGCTGTGGACTAGGCAGCTAGGAGTGAACAGGCAGATTTTCACTGTTGAGGATGTTAGGGAAACACAATATAATAAAGAGGATGTAGCCAACCAAACTGTGGCTTGGGAGATTCAAGTTGGGCATTAGATAAAAGCTTCTGGCTGAGAGGAGTGATGTAGCCCTGGGACCCATGAGATAGATAGGGAATCTCCATCTTTTGGAGTTGTATGGACTTGACTGGATGAAGCTGCAGCCATTCTTATCAGTCCTGTCTTGTAGGCCTGTCCTTACAGGGCTCCTCTCTGCCAGAACGCCCCTCTCCAAGCCCTCTTGTTCCTACTTCTACATATACAGAGATGTCACTCCCAGTGGAGCAGCTCCAAGAGCAGCTGCAAGAGCTGAAGGTGCAGCTGGAAGCCAAGGTGAGCGGGGTGGAGTAAAATGTCCTGACTTGGTAAGCACAACTGCTACAGCATGACTGATGAGGCATCTGCTCCAGGAGGGTTGCTGGAGAGAGAGTTCAGGCTGGGAAGCAGTGTGGTACCTCAACACTTGGCTGGGATTATTCCATGTGCATCTCCAGCCTGTCTTAGCTGGTAGGAGCGTCTGGAGCCCTCGCTGGCTGGCAAAGGCTTTGTGGAAATCACTGTCACCTTGCAAAATGTTTGTGTGCGTCTTGTGGGGAACCAGAGATTACCCGGTGTTGCTATCACAGTAAAACCAGCAACAGGACCAAGAGGAGAAGCAGCCAGGTGTCTCCTGAGGGCGTGGGGTGTATCAGAGCCCTGTTGCCCTGGGCTTGCAGCACACATTAACCCACTTGCCCTAAGGTGACAGTGTGAGCCCAGCCCTCTTTAGACAGCTTTAGAGTGCTCTTGTAAGGGGCCTCAGTTTCCCCATTTACTCCTCTTTTTGCTGCTGAACTGAGAGGTCAGTGGTGCTTGCTGGATTTCTGTTGCAGCACTGCAAGAGTAAATTCTAAACTGCCACACAGGTGACAGAACAGTTCAAGGAGCACAAAACTGCTTACAGATGCTCCGCCTGCTTCACAGTCCTGCCTTTGTGCTCATCAAATCCTGGAGTTTCTAGTGTTTACAGGGCAGCTGTGGGGAGCAGCAGCTACCCACCACCACATCTTGGCAAGGGACCACTCTGCAGTGGAGGAAGGATGTGAGAAGCGGTGGCAGATGATGCCCTGGCCTCTCCCTTCTCTCTGAGGTTCCTTGTAAACAAGGAGAAAGGGGAGAACTGTGGTGTTTGCTGGAAGGAAATGGGACTCACTGGTACCTGCCTGTTAGAGGCTGCTGTGTGAGAGTGATTGTTGCCCTAAGTTCAGCAGGGACCAGAACTGCCTGAAGAGTGTCCCCTCTTGAGCGGACCGATAGATCAACTTGAATTAGAGCTAATGGAGCAGAGGGAGCTCTCAGGAGCATGGTGCTAATATCCAAATCCTATCTCCTTCCAACAGATAAACTATTACAAGGAACAACTAGAGTTAATGCAGAAAAACTTTGAGAGAGAGAGGAAGGACAGTGAGGAAAGCTTCAAGGCTGAGATGCACAAGATGGAAGACCAGAAGAGAGACCTGGAAGAAACAGTTGCAAAGTACTGGGCTGTAATTAGTAGCCTGAAAGAGCAAAAACCTATGTGGAGTCTGGAGCTGGAGGAGAGGTTTGAGGTGGAGCAGGCCAGGGTGGGACAGCACCACACTGAAGACATTTGCCATCCAGGGCAGCAGCTGGACCAGGAGGGAGAAGAACTGAGGACACAGCAGCACCAGGACAGATTGAGCCTGAGGTCTGGCACTGTGCTTTTTCTGGGGCTAAGCAGGAGGTCAGGGGTGCATCCCCTGCTCGTACCAGAGTAGGTTGGGCTGGTTCCTCATGAGGCTGGAAAGCTGCTTTAATTTGGAAGAAAATCTAGGTGGTATTGCAGGGCTGCAGCTGTTCGAAGCAAGACATCTGAATTCCCCTTACATGAGTGCTTTTATTTCAAGACTTTTAAGTTTCCCTGCATGTTCTACAAGCTTGTGTCAGAGGCAGTGCCCAAGCAAACACTGTATCTCAAAATACTGAGAGATACAAGAGAGCTTTCATTAGTGTTTTCTTATTATCTCTCTCTTTCTTGGTCCTTCAACAAACCTGCCTCTGATTGCTAGATCATCACAACTCGTTATCTTAAAAGCAGCAAAAAATGTCTTAAATTTCTCTATGTAGTTAAAACAGACTGGCTGGTGAAAGAGTGAGGCTGTCACTAAATGACTGTTTATCTTCCCTTCCTGTGCTTGTGGTGCCAGTTCTGCAACATCCCCCAGGGGCCAGAGTGGCCTTGCAGAGGAGACTGGAGAGGAATTGGCAGGAAACTGCCTGTCCATGCCTGCTCCTTCCTGCTTTCCAGCACACCCCACCAGTGTCCCCAGGCTCTCCTTCTGCCTCTTCCCTGCTGTGTCTCCCTTCGGGAGCAGAGTTCCCCTGGGCAATACGGAAACAGAGGATTTTGCTAGGGTCATTATTCCTCTTTTAGGGCTGAGATATGGGGTAGATGAGAAAGGTGGTGATGGCTGAAGTCTGTGGTAGACCAGGGAAACAAAGCCAAATAACAGGAATACAAGTAATTTAAACTGTGTTACCACCATCTCTGGTGAATGGTAGATGGACTGACTACAGTGGGGAGCTTTCAGAGTTGTTGGAAAAGATGTGATGGGTGTGAGTCTGAGAGGTGCAAAATAGTTTGGGAACTTTCTGTAAGGTTTAACTAATTGCCTTGACTTTGCAACAAAAAGAAAACTTTGTATTGCATCTCCAGCAAACGTACATTCTGGGGCTGGCTGAGGTTTCCAAGCTGTGTTATCAAATCCAAGCCAGCAAAGTCTTTTTTATCTTTAGGAAAGATGCAGAGGTTGAGCATAACCAAGAGCTGTCATGGAGTGAATGCCAGCATGAGGACAGCTGTAAGGCTTTATTGCAGCAACACTAGTGTGAGAGGAGGTGATTTCCCAACAATAAAGGCTCCAAGGTGAGGCCTTCAATAGCAGCGTGCCCAGGAGAGGCAGCAGTGGAAGTGTAAGGAAAAAGACAGTCTCTGTGGAAGCAGAGTCAGCTAAAGTTGTAAGAGGAGGTTAATGAGGAACAGGCCAAAATGTGTGAGATGCTTAAGCAGAAAAATATTAGAAAAGGCACCAGGATGAAATGGGAGTAATGCAGAATCCATGGAGCTGAGGGCTCTGGTGTTGGAACGGATAGAGTGTCTGGAGACTTGTCCTCTGGGGGAAAAGGAGCAGGTCTGCAAGACTCAGATGAGCAGGTAGACCAAAATGTTCTGTTGCACATAAGGAACAGAGAAGAAATGAGAGACTGTGTGATGGATGGACCAGTGCAGATGTCTGTTGCAGCAAATGGCCTGCTCAGTCTAGAAGCTGGAGCCAAAGTGGAAAGTATTTATCACGGAGAAATGGAATCTTGATAGACAAGGGGATGTGCTTGGGAAGAAGGCAGAGAGAGCAAAGTTAAAAGGTATGCTTTCACACAGTAGACAGAGACATGAGACAGACTTGATCTGGATGGCAAGAACAGGAGAAGAAAGCTCTGGGAGACAGAATGGTGTAGCAGCACAGGAGGAAACATGACATTCTGGCTGTCAAAATGGAGCTGGAGAGGGAAAGGACTAGGTTGCAACTGGGGCTGATGCAGCTCAAAGATGTCATGTACTGGTTGGAAAATGAACCCAGAGCTCAAGAGAGTGTCAGGTTGGAGTGCAATCCTGTATGGAACTGGTGTTTAGCAGTAGCTATTGGATAAGACTGTCTGTTTAAAACAGGACTGAGCCTCCTTCCCACAAGTGCCAGTATTCATAGACTCCTGGGAGACTGGAAGTACCAGAAGGGGAAGGATGATGAGCCTTGGATTTGGGGTCACAACTGTTGTGTCAAACAAGCTGAGTTCTCCAGATATGGCTTTATTGCAGCTGAGGGGTTGGGCTCACCACCTGGTGATCTGTAATTAAGTCTTGGTGTGTCTTGATGAGCCAAATAGCTTTGTTTCCACTCCTTGGCAAGACTGCAAAATAATTTTAGCCAGCTGGAAGGCGCACAAATTCAGTCTGATGCTCTTTGTCCTTATTCCTCTTTATTTCCCTTCCTTTGAAGACCTGCTCCTTCTCTACCATTGTCTCTTGGTTGTCCCCACATATGTTGCCTGAGTTACTGGATGGTTGTTTTTCAGATTTCTTTTATTTCTTACTGTCCTTGGAAACCAAATGGGAATAGACCAGGGAGCCAGCATAGAATGCCAAGAGTAAACAGGGCTTTTGCATGGTCTTTTCACTCTGCTGTCTCTCCCTGCAAGGGAGACCTGTGCTGGCTGCTGGAGAACAGCTTGTTGAAGAGTCAGCTTGGAAGACTCCAGCAGGAACTGAGGCTAGCAAAGAAGGGCAGTGAACACTATGAGTAAGAGAAGAGGCAGCTGCAGGAGGCTGGCAAATGGGTGGATAAAAGGAACAGCCACTCGGGTGCATTTACCAGGTTTCAGCTGGCTCAACCTGCCTTCTGTTTTCTTATTTTTGAGAAAGCCGGCACTCGCACGCCCTTTGCTGCACACAAAAGCAGCCAGTGCTGAGAGAGGCTTGGCCAGAGCACAGGGCCAGAACCAGGTTTTGGGGAGGCTGTGGAGATGGGTATGTGTGGGAGGAAGGGTTGTGTAGCTTCTTTGCTACACGAATGTTTTGACCAGTGGCCTGTTTCTGCCTTAGGAAGCTTGAGATAGGTAGAGATCACCCACCAAGCCATAAATCTGAGGAGAGACAGGTTGCTGGTGTGGATGATCCCAAGAGTCTGTTAATCTGTCTCTCCTACTGTTCTTCATCCCATGATTTTTAGGCCTCTGACAGTGTTGCAGGACTTTGGATGTCCCCAGCTCTCTGCCCTGGGCTGGGCTGAGTCACCTGTTGGTGCAGAGACACCCGACTCACTCCTGAATCAATGCAGGACCATATCTGTTTTTGCTTGGCTTTGCTTCCTGTTGCAGGCCAAAAACAGATGTAGGACTACCCAAAACAGGGCCCTCTGGGGAGCTGTGGTGTGCTGCTCTCTGGCCTGAAGCTGATTGTATCCCTCTTCCCAACAGGAAACACGTGAACAAGTTGGGCAGAGAGAAGGTGGAGGAGCTGGCTGGAATAGCAGAGTTAACAATGTTGGTAAGAGGCTATTAACACTGACAGGCTCTTGACTGAAGGATTTAGGAGGACAAAAACTGCATGTGCTCATAGAGGAGAACAAAAATGTTTGTTTCAAGCATTCAAACCCAGTCTTGCTTTGAAGAACCAGCTTCATCTTATAACTTGTCAAGTAGAGAAAACCTGTGTGCCAAAAGCCAGTGAAGGTCTTACAGAAGGGAAAGTATTGCTACAAAGTCTCTAATGAGGTTGACTTTACCTACTTGCAGTCTTTCTCCCAGAGGTTTTGCTCACTCCCAGTCTCAAACCCACAAGCTCAAAGGCCTTTGGATATGCACACGAGGCCTGGCCAGGATTTTTTGTATGCAATGTGAACAAGGCGGGCAGGCTTTTAAGTTCTCTGCTCTGTTCCTGGGATACCTCATGACTTGGAACCACAACCTGGTTTTTTGCATGTCTTTTCTACCCTTCAGGGCCATCAGCTGCAGCAGGGTGGCCTTTGCTGGCCCTTGCTGGCTTCAGCTTCCAATAACCTGCTGCCCATTGCCTGCTTTTCCTCCTTTGGAATTGCCCATTTTCCTGTGAGGATAGCAGAGGAATGGGATCTTGTCACCCTGCTGTTAGATGCAGGCTTGCTGATGTTATCTCTGCTGTGGTCTGGTCAGAACATGGGTCAGAAACTGCACCTTGCTCAGCATTACTGCAAGGGAAGGTGTCCTAGGGGTAACACCTGGGGGATGGTGCCCTTTAGTGTCAATGTGGGCTGTTCTTGTAGCCCCTACCCTGTTTTTTTGTCTGTACTTTCACATGTGCACATGGACACATTTCCATTCATACTCTATTCTTACTAATTTTAATCTTTCTGTTACACACCCATTCAGTCCTGTGTCCCCCTTCTCCCTCAGTGACCTCTCCCACGGCTGTCAGCTGTGCAGGTTTCCTTATTTAGGAATGCTGTGCTGCTGGGCCTTGGTCAGGCTGGGACATGAGGACACTTGTCCTGAGTGCCCACAAGGCCCTGGAGCAGTGTCCCTGGGTGGGAACCCAGTGGGGGCAGTTGTGGGACAGATTAGGTGTCTGTTGCCTCTGTTCCCACCCCAAGGCTCTGTGCATGATTTGGGGTTTTTTTCCAACCTTTTCCAGAGCGAGAAGAGCAAAGAGGAGGTCTCCCACCCGAATGTCAAGGTGCATCAGCTGGGCTGTGAACTCACTGGGCACAAGGCTGGTCACAGTGCCCAGCTGCAGAGCCAGAGGCTTGCAGAGGCCGAGTGGCCACGAGGAGCAGAGGTGGCTGCAAGGCTGGAACACCACCAGAAGCATGCAGCATGTTGGATGGAAGTGGAGCTGCTCCAACAGCAGCTGAAGGCCTCTCAGGAGAAGGTGGGTGTCCTTCAGTTGGTGGCAGGGTGCTGAGTAGTCCCTGCTGGGGGCTGTGTTGGACACCTTCCCCAGTAAGAAAAAACTTGTCCTGTTCCTCTTTGTGGGGGACAAAGGACTCTCTCTCCTGCTTAAATATGTCCAAAGCCAGTTCAAGTGCAGCTGGGGACAGGTCCTTGCTGCCTGTGATGTCCTCTCTGTCCTTGTCCTGTGCAGGCTGGCTGGGCACAGGAGATGGAGGCTGAGTGGAGGTGGCTCACACAGGGGTGCCAGGAGCTATGGTTCCCCATGGCTCAGCTGGCAGAGGAGCTGGGGGAGTGGCAGGATCAGGTAGGGGCTGGGCAGGGATGACAGCAGCCAGACAGGCCTTGTCTGAGGGAAGGGAAATGTGATCAGGGCAGGGAAACTAGGATCACTAGGATAGAGAGAGGAAAGCCAGTGTGAGAAACCTTCAGATGTGTTACTATCCCTCTCCTGCATTCTACCCTGTGGACAGGCTCAGGGACTGGCTTTCCAAAGTACAGCTTACCCATGTCAGCCACCCCTGGATAGCCCTAGTGCAAAGTGGGACCAGACCTGCTTCCCAGTACCAGGTTTGCCCTTTGCTGGTGGCAGGAAGCAGAGGACATGTAGTACAGGACATGTAGTACATCCCAGCTTGCCTGGGATATATCCAAGAACCCAGGTGAGCAGCCCCCTCTGTCTCTTGCCATTGTGGCCCTTTGTGCTGGGATTTACTCCCAGAAGAGTCCTCCAGCAACTCCTGCTCCTTGCTGCTCAGCAAAGGGTCTCCGTTTATCCACCTGCAGCTCTTGGTGCTCTCAGTCCCTTGCTTTGCAGGCTGCCCAGTAAGCAGCACTCCCATGGTCCTGCACGGTGCTGAGGGTGCTACCTAACCTCTCCTCTCACCCACAGCACACCCTGGGCCTGTAACATTGTCGGCTCAGAGCTGTAACCAGCTACCCACCTGTCTGTGTTACAGCTTTTAGAAGCCAAAGCAAGCCTGAGCCTGGCCCAGACCCAGCACGCTCTGCAGTTGCAGCAGGCCAAGGCCCAGATGAACAACATGGTGTCAAAGCAGCAGTTTGAGCAGCTGCAAACCACTTTGAGAGAGGAACAGTGCAAGACTCAGCAGCTCCAGGAAAGCCTCCACCAGCAGGCTGAGCAAACATGCAGGCAGCTGGTCAGCATCCAGGTAAGCAGGTAATTATGGGAGCTCAGTCAAGGGTACTGTGAAGGGAACACTGCTGTCCTGGCAGCCTGGAAGGCAGCTGTGGTTGAAGGCACCAGAGGTTTGAGTAGAAGATGCAATATATAAAGAACCCACATGGAAAATGCACTTACTTTCAAATTCAGCTGCAACTTTTAATTCCTCATGAAAGCAGTCACTGCCCTGCACTCAAACATGAGCCCTCCCCACTCAAATCCACATACCCCAGACCAGGTATCTACCTTGTGCCTAGAGGAGCAGGAGTTATCCAGGGAGAGACTCTCTTGGCTCAGACTGGGAAAAAAAAAAGTTTGAGCCCTCTGTGTGGAGTTCAGAGAGTGGGGTGGTTTTATCTCTGGGGCACTGGGCAACGGAGGTGTTGGGTTTTCGTGAGTTTGTCTTGTGACAAACTGGGCAAAGATAGAACAAATTATAATGTAAGGAATTATAACGAGCAGACACAAAAACTGCATCGAAGGAAACTATGTCTCTCCCTGGGCTTTTCTGGACATGCCTGGGAGAGGGGAGGCCATTGGCTTGTTTTTATAGAAAACACTGCTGGGAAATCTGTGCCTTGTCTTAAAATTCATCAGGTGCAGACCTAGAGAAGGTTGTACTGCTCTAGACACCTTTCCTACTGCTCTTTGCATCCTGCACCTCACCTAATCCTCCCCTGCTCTCCTTCAGGGAGTGTGAAGGTCCAGGGTCCTGGGGAAATGTACAGTCCAGGGTTGCCAGAGGCCAGGGGAGTGCTAGGACAACCCAACAACAGGCTTTCTTACCCACTGCAGGCAGAACACGAGCACCTGCTGCAGGCTGCTGTGGAGCAGGCAGAGGGGCTGGAACACAGCCTGAGGAGTGCTGAGGCTGTGCTGGCAGAGAGGGCAGCTCAGCTCAGAGACGCCCAGGTGAGTGCAAGAGGGGTTAGTGCTGCGTGTTCCTCCCTGTCTGGTACCCCTGCATGGCATGCTGAACCTGAAGCCTCCTGTCTCTTCTGCAGGCCCAACTCTCCAGGAACAAACTGCTGATCGAAGACCTCCGTGGGGAGAACAGGGGGTTTGCAGTGGCCATGAAGGCTGCTGAACTGAAGCAGAAGAGCACAGAGGAGAAGAACCAGCTGTTGGAGGAGAAAGCCTCAGCTCTGAAGCAGCTTATCGGAAAAATCACACCAGCAAGTCTGAGTGGGTGATGGGACACCTTCAGTGGCAGTCCTGCCCCTGCTCCTGGCTGGGGTTGGTTGGGTGCAGAAGGGGAGGTATGGCTGGGTTGGGAAATCAGCCTTGTCCTCTCCGGTCTTGTCAGGATGTTCCTGCATAGAAAATAGATAATGGAGAACCCAGACCTTTAGGAAGTTTGTCCTGTGGATAGCTGAATTTTCCAACTGAAAGCACCAGCTTTGCTGCATTTCTCAGTGGCAGTGTGCTGTTATAAGTCAGGTCTGTCTCAGGGCAGCCATCCCACAGGATTTTCTTGAACTCCAGCAGTGTTTGGTGGTGATGCAGATGCTCCCTCTCTGTAGAGGGTTGATGTTGAGGCCACACTGTTATGGCTGGAAAGCCAGGGCAGAAGGGCTTGCAGGTTCCTGTGTCTGGCTCACTCTGATCAGGAAAGCTGTGTGGTGGTATTAAAATGTTTGCAATATTACAGCACTTCCTGCCATCTCCAGTCTGCTCTCTATTTCAGTAACCTTCCCCAGCTGTTGCTGAACTTTCATTCCCTACAGCTCCTCTTGGGCTCTAGGAGACTGGCCCTCCTACAGCCTGAGCCTAGGATCCAAAACCAACCAGACTTGCCTCTGCAGTGAGTGGGACAGAGGGACTGAGGGTAGAGCCTTCTTTCAGTTTGAGCCTCCAGGGCTTGGGGCTTGATGACCCCCTACTCCGCTCCCTTCAGAGGAGACCAGGAGACATGGTAAGTGAACTGTCCTCTTGCCTTCCTTGGTGGCCTTTACACACTGACAGTGAGTACTACTGCCACAGTAAGTTGTCTGAAAGGCCAAGTGTTCACATCTGCAAATACCAAATTTATTGCTCTGCCCCGGGTGTTCCCCTCTGCATGGAAGGTGCATCATTGCCCCGGTGCAATGTCCAGAGCAGACATTTACACAGGGGCTGTGGTTGCCACTCCCTGTGAAAGCACTCCTAGGATTTTGGGGGCTATGGAGAAAACTGTAGGAGAGACTAGACAAGCCTGACTATTTCAGGGTACCAGTGCAGAGGCTGGACAAAGTCAGTACAAAGAAGAAGGCTTAAAAATAGCTCACGGTGTTGTTGGTTCAGGAACAAAAGAGGATAAACTGATGTGAGCTGAAACTCAGATACTGTGTTTAAGGCTGCCCCTCAGCCTGCTAGGGCAGAGAGGTTCCCTGGCCCTGGGGCCAGGCTTGGAGATGACTGGAGGCTGTGACTGAGGAGGCCTCCTTGGTTTAGCTGTACTTTTTTTGCCTCGATGCATTGAGAGCTGACACTCCTCTTTGCCTTGGGGGCAGCCCTGAGTACAAGGGCCACAAGGTGAAGCTGGGCTGTTACAGGGAGGGCAGCCCCACAGAGGGGCTCAGGCATATTGCTTGGCTGGGGGTGGGAGAGCAATGCAGTAGTGCCCCAAGCATTTACCCTGCTCCTGCATTCTTCCCCAGCTGTTTGCTTTTTCAGCTCCGGTCTGAGATGGGGGCTAACCAAACCTCTAGTCTGAGCCAGGGTTAATGTTTTTGCAAGTGTTCTCTCAGCCACTTCTCAAGAGTGAGCAGCTCCATTAAGAAAACCAGACAGGGAAAGCAGCTCTTCAGCCCTGTTCTGGTTTTAAACCCTCTGCTCCCTTTCCCACCCCTACACCAAACAGTCCCTAGGCCTTGCCAGACCAGTGCTTGGGGAAGCCCAGGCGTGCTGGGAGAAGCCCAGACTGCAGTGCTCATTCATACAGCACCTCAAGAAACAACATTTATAGGTCTCTGATGGGAGACAAGGCTTCTTGTCTAATCCTGGAAAGAAGCTTGCACAGCCTTTTCTGACACTTGGAGGAACAGTTCCACTGAGACACTTAAATAACCATCATGCTGCAGGGTCAGGACAGGTTTGACTAGGGACCCAGATCAGAGTGCTTAGTGAACACAACATTAACTCTTAAAAATCACTACAGTGAAGGCTGAAGCAGTTCTTTATTTTGCAACCACGGAGCTTTCCTGGCTTCCAGAGCCCAGCCAGTTGGTGTCTTACTCCCACGTGAACAATCAATTAGTCCAAACAAAAATGCATTTACAAATGCCAGTTGTAGCTCTGGGGCTTGGATAATGCTCTGCTCCCCCCTCCTACCCCCCGGATTCCCAGGATCACTACATTACCAGTATGCACCATTTCCTCCCAGAGGGGTGGCCAATGTGGTTTGCATAATATAGGGCTGATCTTCAGGTAAGGCACCAGAGGCTGCTGGGAGGAGTGGCAGGGTGCCACTGCAGAAATGCTGAGGTGTCTGAAGTGCTGCACACACTACAGTTCAGTCCCCATTGTGGGCAGGCCACCAAGCAAGAGTTGTCCCTCCTGTCCTCCACACTTAGGACAGAATGTGCTCCAGGACTCCTTGTCTGATTAACTGCTCGCATTTCCAGCGGGGTAAAAAGTGCTGCACAGAAACACAGGAGAACTTTCCTTGAATTTGTTGGATTTGTTGCTCCACACAGCCAGCTCTGTTCTTTGTGCTATATATCCACTGCATCCTGGTACCAGACTGGGCAGAGCTGCAGTCTGGGCCATGCAGACAGCCTGCAGCATGTGCAGGGAGCTGTGTGTGTAGGAATTGTGACATGCTGCAAAGCTGGGATAAGCAGGGGGATATTATGGGAGTGAAAGAGAAGGAAGAGAATGGATGACATTCTTGTCACGGGTACCTGGCTGTTCTTCTTCAACAGGATGGTAGTCCCATCATCAATCTCAAATTCTCCATGGTCTCTTAAACACCGCACCTGCAAAGCAGAAACACAGCTCCCAGATCACCCCATCTCCCATAGAAACACTAGACATCACTGCTGGCTTGCAACACATGCCCCAGGACTGTGAGAATGGACACATTGCTCCCTGCCTGAGGGAGTCTCAGTACAGAGCAGACCTAGAAATGCAGAACTGAACTGATCCCATGGATCAGTGCCCATGGTCTGTGGGCTCCACCTTGACATTCTCTTCCTGTCTCTGCCTGGAACAAGAGCCCAGTCTCTCCAGAAACTTGAGGAAGAGGAGCACAAGAGATAGGGACTGGTGACCCTCCCCTCCCCACAAACATACCAGAAAATGTCAATCTGTTTTAACAGTGAATGTGCTTAAGGAGCAGGTTTATTGTCACTACATGGTTTTTTGAAGAGAATATCAGAACAGAGCACTTCAGCTCCTGACTGTGATTTCTCACGTGCTCTTGCTTTTTTGTATCAATTGTGTAAAGCAATTTATAGTCTCATCTATAAGAGTCCATTTAAAAAAAACCAACAGAGCCTCCTAGGTAATAGTCATTAACATGGGAACATGGTTTCTAGTTGATCTGAGAGTTGGTTAAGTTTCTGCAAAAAGCTGCAGAAACTTCTCACTGGATAACTCGCCCCATCACAAATGCCCTACAGACTAGAAATACCATCTTTGACCATACAAAGCAAAGCTTTGGTGCTCTCAGAGGCTTTGCTTAATGAACTGACTTGGGATGGGGATGAAGTTCTCTAAAAAAGATGGTCGGGTAAATGTTTGTTCACAGACAGAAACCACAGATCTTGCACTTACTTCAATGTACAGGCTTTTAGGAGGTTTTATGTCCTGTGTAAGGTCCAGCCCCTCCTCTCCTCCTACTGACCTCATGTAGGTAGCCAGAGACTTTTTGTACCGATTGAACCACTCCACCTGTGGGCAGTAACAGTGATCCCTCAGTCAAAGCCAAACAGCTAATGCTGAAAGACAGGTCCCTGATGAATGAGATCTAGTTTATTTGTGTTGTCAGACCACTGTTCCCAAGCACGCTCCTGACAGCCAAAGGTGAATGAATGCAAGCTCTTCTAAAAAGGAAAAACCACCCTTGAGGCAAAGCAATCTGGATTCAGGGTAGGACAGATGCTACTAATGTCAGCAGCTCTGTACATTGGTCTAGAGATGGCATTTGAGAGCAGCACATACAGACCTATTGTTCTGTTGGTCTCTCTGTGAGTCTGATCTAATGGAGATCACCTGATCCTTAAAAGTGCATTAAAAAGTGCACTCAGTGTCCATCTGGGGTTGTACCCATAGACAATGAATTAACAAATAAGTATTTACAGAAAGGCACGTTAAGCATCATGTTTATAGTGGGGGGAAGAGTTTAAAACAAGGCCGACTCACTTCCTCAGCTGACATGTGGAACTGGATGGTGTTTGGCAGGACACTGCCATACTCCCACCTCAGCGCTCGGATCCGCAGCAGCCGGTCGTACCTGGGGGGAGAAACGGGGCAAACCCAGCATCCTTGAGGTGAGTGCTGGCAACATCCCCAGGCAACAACGATGCCCCAGTCTGCCCTCAGAGCAGAGAGCAAACACTTGGGTCATTCCACCTGTGATATCCGGCCTATTCATAATGAAAACTCTTAAAGAGCAGAGGGAAGCAGGGCCCTCTCTTTGTTGGTACCGG